ATACAGGAGGATTGTCATTGACATCTGCGACAGTGACAGGTATAGTTTTCTTACTGGACAGAGGAGGAGAGCCCGAATCAGTGGCTGTGATTTCAATATCATATTTAGAGCTTTTTTCTCGGTCTAAAATACCATTAATAACTAGAGCATAATTTTGAGAAAATGATGGTTTTAATGTAAATTGAGATTTTTGAGGTAGGTCAAGCATAACTTTACCGTTATCACCCGAGTCCAGATCTCGCACACTAAGCAAAGCCACTACAGTGCCATTAGTTGCATCCTCTCGCACCGGTTTAGGATGCGAGGTAAGAATAATTTCTGGTGCATTATCATTAATGTCTAACACTTCAATTTGGACAGTACAGTGACCCTCCATTCTTGGCGTTCCTTTGTCTTTTGCACTTACATCTATTTCGTAATTTGCAGTAAATTCGTAGTCTAACTTTCCTTTAAGAAGTATTGTTCCTGATACAGGATCAATACTGAAAACTGAAAGTACACTATCTGGCGTGTGTGCCCCAAAATTATATTCAATTTCTCCGTTCTGACCGTCATCCATATCCGTGGCTTTTGTCTGTACTATCATCGCACCGTCTGAAGCGTTTTCTACAACAGACACTTTATACAACGACTTCTCAAAAACTGGGACATTATCGTTGATGTCAAGAACTTTAACCGATATTTGAGATGTTCCAGATTTTTGTGGATTTCCTCCATCTAAAGCTGTCAACAAAAGGTTGTGAACTGCCTTTTTCTCTCTGTCTAAAAGTTTTGTTAAAACCAATTCGGGCACTTTTCTTCCACCTGCAACATCCTTCAGTCTAACACTGAAACACTCGTCTTTACTCAGTGAATACGACTTCAACGAATTACTACCAACATCGGGGTCTATGGCGCCTTCTAAGGGGAACCGAACACCAACAACTGTGGACTCTGCAATTTCCAATGTGACATCATTTGACGGAAATCTCGGCGAATTATCATTAATGTCTAATATTTCAACTTCAACGCGAAACAGCTGTAACGGGTCTTCAATGACAACCTGCAGGGGGAGAACACAGCTGGCGCTTTGTCCACATAGAGCCTCTCTGTCTATTCTGTCATTCACCACCAGCTCGCCCTTCCCCGCATCAACACTGAAATACTGCTTATCAGCCTCAGAGGCGACACGCAGCTTGCGGTCAAAAACCTCAGAGAGCCCTAAACCCAAGTCTTTTGCTAAATTTCCAACCACTGAGCCTTGTTTAAGTTCCTCTGGGATGCTGTACCGAGTCTGTCCGTGTGTTGTACTCCATAACAGTAAAACGTTGTGCCACCACAGCGCCTGCCATCGCCAGTCTCTGTATTCCCTTTTCTTTGTCATCTTCGTCCGCGTTAACACGTTAAATCCACCTGACGTGACGTGGAAAAATCCTGAAATCAATCGTCCCCAGCATCGCTCCCGTTACACATCATACGTGCATAGCACGATCGTATACAAAAAGGTAGATTTATAAATATTCCGAAATAAGAGCTCATCACTCCGCCCGTCACCGCTTCGCAATGAATGTGTTTCAGCACCGAGGATGAACGGGGGCAGGGACTAGATCTCTTTGTACAGTGTTGAATCCTATTGGTTCACAGAATGTATTTCACCACCCAATGAGATGAAAACTCTTAAAGACGCAGCATTGACTATGTAGCTCGGGCATTCAAATTCAAATGAGCAAAAAAGGGATTTGAAAAAAGAAAAAAGAAACGGTCGTTTTTATTAAATTAAATAATTTATTTACAGGTCATTGTTATTGCTTAAGTCAAGGTTGTAAAAAAAAGATTATATATATATACACACAACATATATAAGGGTGTGTGTGTGTGTGTGTCTGTGTTCTCTGAAAATGTATTCGCCACTTTGTGTCGCTGTCCTCACATGTAGCGCTGAACTATAGGACGAGATCCAGCACTAAATGAACATTTAAATGTTTTGATAGTAATTGTTTTTGGTAAATTATTACATTCCGTTATATTAAATTCAAAATGCTCACCTGCTGGCTTTCAAAAGTCCAGGTGCTGTCAGGTAAAGACGCA